GGCACCACAAGCTGGTGTTGTAGTGTGTTGTGGGCAGCATGGGGCACTACAAGCTGGTGTTGTAGTGTGTTGTGGGCAGCATGGGGCACCACAAGCTGGTGTTGTAGTGTGTTGTGGGCAGCATGGTGCACCATGGGGCACCACAAGCTGGTGTTGTAGTGTGTTGTGGGCAGCATGGGCACCACAAGCTGGTGTTGTATTGTGTTGTGGGCAGCATGGGGCACTACAAGCTGGTGTTGTAGTGTGTTGTGGGCAGCATGGGGCACCACAAGCTGGTGTTGTAGTGTGTTGTGGGCAGCATGGGGCACCACAAGCTGGTGTTGTAGTGTTTTTTGGGCAGCATGGGGCACCACAAGCTGGTGTTGTAGTGTGTTGTGGGCAGCATGGGGCACCATGGGGCACCACAAGCTGGTGTTGTAGTGTGTTGTGAGCAGCATGGGCACCACACGCTGGTGTTGTAGTGTGTTGTGGGCAGCATGGGGCACCATGGGGCACCACAAGCTGGTGTTGTAGTGTGTTGTGGGCAGCATGGGCACCACAAGCTGGTGTTGTAGTGTGTTGTGGGCAGCATGGGCACCACAAGCTGGTGTTGTAGTGTGTTGTGGGCAGCATGGGGCACCACAAGCTGGTGTTGTAGTGTGTTGTGGGCACCATGGGGCACCACAAGCTGGTGTTGTAGTGTGTTGTGGGCAGCATGGGCACCACAAGCTGGTGTTGTAGTGTGTTGTGGGCAGCATGGGGCACCATGGGGCACCACAAGCTGGTGTTGTAGTGTGTTGTGGGCAGCATGGGCACCACAAGCTGGTGTTGTAGTGTGTTGTGGGCAGCATGGGCACCACACGCTGGTGTTGTAGTGTGTTGTGGGCAGCATGGGCACCACAAGCTGGTGTTGTAGTGTGTTGTGGGCAGCATGGGCACCACAAGCTTGTGTTGTAGTGTGTTGTGGGCAGCATGGGCACCACAAGCTGGTGTTGTAGTGTGTTGTGGGCAGCATGGGGCACCACAAGCTGGTGTTGTAGTGTGTTGTGGGCAGCATGGGGCACCACAAGCTGGTGTTGTAGTGTGTTGTGGGCAGCATGGGGCAGCATGGGGCACCACAAGCTGGTGTTGTAGTGTGTTGTGGGACGCATGGGGCAGCATGGGGCACCACAAGCTGGTGTTGTAGTGTGTTGTGGGCAGCATGGGGCACCACAAGCTGGTGTTGTAGTGTGTTGTGGGCAGCATGGTGCACCATGGGGCACCACAAGCTGGTGTTGTAGTGTGTTGTGGGCAGCATGGGCACCACAAGCTGGTGTTGTAGTGTGTTGTGGGCAGCATGGTGCACCATGGGGCACCACAAGCTGGTGTTGTAGTGTGTTGTGGGCAGCATGGGGCACCATGGGGCACCACAAGCTGGTGTTGTAGTGTGTTGTGGGCAGCATGGGCGCCACAAGCTGGTGTTGTAGTGTGTTGTGGGCAGCATGGGCACCACAAGCTGGTGTTGTAGTGTGTTGTGGGCAGCATGGGGCACCACAAGCTGGTGTTGTAGTGTGTTGTGGGCAGCATGGGTACCACAAGCTGGTGTTGTGGTGTGTTGTGGGCAGCATGGGGCACCACAAGCTGGTGTTGTAGTGTGTTGTGGGCAGCATGGGGCACCATGGGGCACCACAAGCTGGTGTTGTAGTGTGTTGTGGGCAGCATGGGGCACCACAAGCTGGTGTTGTAGTGTGTTGTGGGCACCATGGGGCACCATGGGGCACCACAAGCTGGTGTTGTAGTGTGTTGTGGGCAGCATGGGGCACCACAAGCTGGTGTTGTAGTGTGTTGTGGGCAGCATGGTGCACCATGGGGCACCACAAGCTGGTGTTGTAGTGTGTTGTGGGCAGCATGGGCACCACAAGCTGGTGTTGTAGTGTGTTGTGGGCAGCATGGGGCACCACAAGCTGGTGTTGTAGTGTGTTGTGGGCACCATGGGGCACCACAAGCTGGTGTTGTAGTGTGTTGTGGGCAGCATGGGGCACCACAAGCTGGTGTTGTAGTGTGTTGTGGGCAGCATGGTGCACCATGGGGCACCACAAGCTGGTGTTGTAGTGTGTTGTGGGCAGCATGGGCACCACAAGCTGGTGTTGTAGTGTGTTGTGGGCAGCATGGGGCACCACAAGCTGGTGTTGTAGTGTGTTGTGGGCAGCATGGGGCACCACAAGCTGGTGTTGTAGTGTGTTGTGGGCAGCATGGGGCAGCATTGGGCACCATGGGGCACCACAAGCTGGTGTTGTAGTGTGTTGTGGGCACCATGGGGCACCACAAGCTGGTGTTGTAGTGTGTTGTGGGCACCATGGGGCAGCATGGGGCACCATGGGGCACCACAAGCTGGTGTTGTAGTGTGTTGTGGGCACCATGGGGCAGCATGGGGCACCATGGGGCACCACAAGCTGGTGTTGTAGTGTGTTGTGGGCACCATGGGGCAGCATGGGGCACCATGGGGCACCACAAGCTGGTGTTGAAGTGTGTTGTGGGCACCATGGGGCAGCATGGGGCACCATGGGGCACCACAAGCTGGTGTTGTAGTGTGTTGTGGGCACCATGGGGCAGCATGGGGCACCATGGGGCACCACAAGCTGGTGTTGTAGTGTGTTGTGGGCACCATGGGGCAGCATGGGGCACCATGGGGCACCACAAGCTGGTGTTGTAGTGTGTTGTGGGCACCATGGGGCACCATGGGGCACCACAAGCTGGTGTTGTAGTGTGTTGTGGGCAGCATGGGGCACCACAAGCTGGTGTTGTAGTGTGTTGTGGGCACCATGGGGCACCACAAGCTGGTGTTGTAGTGTGTTGTGGGCAGCATGGGGCACCACAAGCTGGTGTTGTAGTGTGTTGTGGGCAGCATGGGGCACCACAAGCTGGTGTTGTAGTGTGTTGTGGGCAGCATGGGGCACCACAAGCTGGTGTTGTAGTGTGTTGTGGGCAGCATGGGGCAGCATGGGGCACCACAAGCTGGTGTTGTAGTGTGTTGTGGGCAGCATGGGGCACCACAAGCTGGTGTTGTAGTGTGTTGTGGGCACCATGGGGCAGCATGGGGCACCACAAGCTGGTGTTGTAGTGTGTTGTGGGCAGCATGGGGCACCACAAGCTGGTGTTGTAGTGTGTTGTGGGCAGCATGGGGCACCATGGGGCACCACAAGCTGGTGTTGTAGTGTGTTGTGGGCAGCATGGGCACCACAAGCTGGTGTTGTAGTGTGTTGTGGGCAGCATGGGCACCACAAGCTGGTGTTGTAGTGTGTTGTGGGCAGCATGGGCACCACAAGCTGGTGTTGTAGTGTGTTGTGGGCAGCTTGGGGCACCACAAGCTGGTGTTGTAGTGTGTTGTGGGCAGCATGGGCACCACAAGCTGGTGTTGTAGTGTGTTGTGGGCAGCATGGGGCACCACAAGCTGGTGTTGTAGTGTGTTGTGGGCAGCATGGGGCACCACAAGCTGGTGTTGTAGTGTGTTGTGGGCACCATGGGGCACCACAAGCTGGTGTTGTAGTGTTGTGGGCAGCATGGGGCACCACAAGCTGGTGTTGTAGTGTGTTGTGGGCAGCATGGTGCACCATGGGGCACCACAAGCTGGTGTTGTAGTGTGTTGTGGGCACCATGGGGCACCACAAGCTGGTGTTGTAGTGTGTTGTGGGCAGCATGGGGCACCATGGGGCACCACAAGCTGGTGTTGTAGTGTGTTGTGGGCAGCATGGGCACCACAAGCTGGTGTTGTAGTGTGTTGTGGGCAGCATGGGGCACCATGGGGCACCACAAGCTGGTGTTGTAGTGTGTTGTGGGCACCATGGGGCACCACAAGCTGGTGTTGTAGTGTGTTGTGGGCAGCATGGGGCACCACAAGCTGGTGTTGTAGTGTGTTGTGGGCAGCATGGGCACCACACGCTGGTGTTGTAGTGTGTTGTGGGCAGCATGGGGCACTACAAGCTGGTGTTGTAGTGTGTTGTGGGCAGCATGGGCACCACACGCTGGTGTTGTAGTGTGTTGTGGGCAGCATGGGCACCACAAGCTGGTGTTGTAGTGTGTTGTGGGCAGCATGGGCACCACAAGCTGGTGTTGTAGTGTGTTGTGGGCAGCATGGGGCAGCATGGGGCACCACAAGCTGGTGTTGTAGTGTGTTGTGGGCAGCATGGGCACCACAAGCTGGTGTTGTAGTGTGTTGTGGGCAGCATGGTGCACCATGGGGCACCACAAGCTGGTGTTGTAGTGTGTTGTGGGCAGCATGGGCACCACAAGCTGGTGTTGTAGTGTGTTGTGGGCAGCATGGGGCACCACACGCTACGTGACGTCATTCACAAGGGGCAGCTTTACTACTTGAACTGCACCAGCGGCATCCTCCGACGTGTGTAGCGTTTAGGCTACACTACACTAGGGGAGGCTACTACAGTGGGGCGCCCTACACTAGGGGAGGCTACTACAGTGGGGCGCCCTACACATGGGGAAGCTACTACAGTGGGGCGCCCTACACTAGGGGAGGCTACTTCAGTGGAGCGCCCTACACAACTATGGAGGCTTCTAAAGTGGGGCGCCCTACACTAGGGGAGGGTACTGAAGTGGTGCGCCCTACACAACTATGGAGGCTACTACAATGGGGCGTCATACACTATAGAGGCTACTGCAGTGGGGTGTCCTACACTAGTGGAGGCTACTGCAGTGGGGCGTCATACAATAGGGGAGGCTACTGCAATGGGGCGCCCTACACTAAGGGAGGCTACTGCAGTGGGGCGTCATACACTATGAATATTGTTGGCTTCTTAACTGAACAGGTTGGAGAAGAGCCTCAGTGTACCTATGGACGGCCACACTAATGGACGGCCACACTTATGGACGGCCACACTTATGGACGGCCACACTTTTAGACGGCGACACTTTTAGACTGCCACACTTATGGACGGCCACACTTATGGACGTCTTATCGACGGTGACACTTATGATGTGTAAATATTTTAAATGTTTCTAATTTGTACAATATTTTTCACCTATTTTAGAGCACTATACATCACGAGAAGACAAATTTTGTGACTGCTCAACGCCTTGTTCAACAGTTCGTTATGAGCCTCTGTATTCTTATGGCGCTCTCTCCAAAATAGCCGTAGATAAACTGAAACAAGGTATGTTCATCCCGGGAAGTAAGAAAAAAAAAACAAGACAAAATATAAAAGTACAACATATATCAGGACAATATATGACTGGACAATATAAGACAGGACAATTTATGTCAGGACAATATATGTCAGGACAATATATGTCAGGACAATATATACCAGGACAATATATACCAGGACAATATATGTCAGGACAATATATGTCAGGACAATATATGTCAGGACAATATGTCAGGACAATATATGTCAGGACAATATATACCAGGACAATATGTCAGGACGCCGCGTACGGCCCCTATCTCGGTTTAAGCATAAAATGTCGTGTACTAATTCGTCAATTCTATAAGACAGACAGACAAGACACAGACACACATACATTGCTTTATATATATATATATATATATATATATATATATATATATATATATATATATATATATATATATATATATATATATATATGTATATATAAATATATATATATATATATATATATATATATATATATATATATATATATATATATATATATATATATATATATATATATATATATATATATATGTATATATATGTATATATATATATATATATATATATATATATATATATATATATATATATATATATATATATAAAATATATATATATATATATATATATATATTAAATATATATATATATATATATATGTATATATATATATATAGTTTATGGTGTGGTGGGTCGGTTATTATATATATTTAATATAGGCCTACACATAAAGCGTCGACATAATTAAATGTTTACAGAGGATATCGAGAAAATTAAACCTCGCTATAAAAAGGCATTAGATGTCTCTGAATATCTGAGCGAATCGAGGGAGATCAAGAAAAAAGATTACTCAACTTTTTCACGTTCCCTTCACTTGACCAGTGATTTCTACAGGAATATTCCATTGATCAGTACAAGCTCTATAAGAGAGGTAGGGTTAGTCTGTGTGCTGAATGATTCACATCTTCCATACATTTCTTACTATATGCAATGGATTATCTTCCTGTCTAAGATGTACAATTGTGTCTAATACGTTATCTTTAAGCACCAATGCTATGTTGCAGCTTTAACTGACTGAACTAAAATTGTATCTGTTTGTTTCTATTTTTTTTCTTCTTTTTTCTTCTGCGTTTTTAATTTTAGTTTTAACGTGTTTTAGGCCATGTAGGTCATTGATTCCAATTTCAGCCTGCTTTTCTTTTTTGAATTTGCTTCCATATCCTTTGTCCAACCCCGAACAAACTACAAGGCAGCAGTTGTTTGATTTTGACCACGCCGACCCCTTTCTAAATGTTTATCTTGAACTGCCAGATTCTAAAACTTGTGTTTACACACAGACTGTTAGGAAGATTTACGTGCGGTCAGCTCTACTCTAAAACTTGTGTTTACACACAGACTGTTAGCAAGATGTCCGTGCGGTCAGCTCTACTCTAAAACTTGTGTTTACACACAGACTGTTAGGAAGATGTCCGTGTGGTCAGCTCTACTCTACTCTAAAACTTGTGTTTACACACAGACTGTTAGCAAGATGTCCGTGCGGTCAGCTCTACTCTAAAACTTGTGTTTACACACAGACTGTTAGGAAGATTTACGTGCGGTCAGCTCTACTCTAAAACTTGTGTTTACACACAGACTGTTAGGAAGATGTCCGTGTGGTCAGCTCTACTCTACTCTAAAACTTGTGTTTACACACAGACTGTTAGCAAGATGTCCGTGCGGTCAGCTCTACTCTAAAACTTGTGTTTACACACAGACTGTTAGGAAGATGTCCGAGCGGTCAGCTCTATTCTACCATTTGATTGACGGCTTGCTGCTGTCTCAAGTTTCACTGCTCATGACGTCATTGATTGGCCCCTGGGCACTTGAAAGACAACTGGCCGGTGAGCTCTTTTTAACAGTTAGGATAAAGTTTAGGGTTAGGGTTTAGGAGTAGGGTTAGGGTTTATGGTTAGAGTTAGGGTGGGGGTTAGGGTGAGGGTAAGGTTTAAGGTGAGTTTTAGGGTTAGTTTAATATTTACGTGTCAATGTATGTGTACCAGATGTGTCGCCTGATTGTCTTGCCTACAGCCTCCGGGGGAAATTTCAGCAGTTAAAATTCAGATCAAATGATGACGTGAATCGTCTGATGTTGAGTCTCATAATAGAACAGCTTGATGGAAGGTAAAATATTTGTCAATCAATGTTTTCACTTTTACCTTGACATCAAATTCATGTTTTGACATGAATATAGAGGCCCATGCATGGGTAGCGAGAGCCTTTATTCGGAGATCCATGATAGTAAAATTATAAACATACACACACAAACACACGGACAAAAAATTTCCGACTCAATGACACGTAAAAAGCTTTGATAAATTGGATTTATAATTCTTGCCCGATTAAAATAAGCCCCCTATACTCCATATATGATGAAATACTGAGGTGTAAAAAGATGAAAATTCAAAATTTCATGTGATTTTTGTGCATGATTACAATACTTCCTCTATACTCAGTATTACTATACACTGTATCCGAGAAAATAAAAATGTTAAGAATCGACAAGTAAAAAAGGTTCGGGGTTTCTATAAATAACGTCACACTCGTATGGGTAGGGGGGGGTAACTTTGTGACGGTGTGTGGTGAGGGGGAGGGGGCGGCAATGTTGTGACGTCACACTTTTGCATTATAAAAAAGCAATGTTAGAAAATGAGTTTTAGACGTTAATTCGCGTTCAAGTAACTTTTAATAAATTGTAATAGGAATTGATTAACAAACTCTATGTTGACAGTTCAGACAAGATTTTGGAAAAATATCGATGTTTTAAGAAAAATTCAACTGCAGTTTTGAGAGGGTTGTGGGCTGAGACTTTTTGTGACGATGTGTGTTGGAGGGGAGGGGGGAGGTAAAAAATCGTAAAAAAAAAGCGTTACGTCATTTATAAATGACCCTTCTCTTGTGATACAGGCAATTTCTTACCAGAGAAAATATAATTATCAACGAAAACGTTTTACAAGCTTACAAGAGTGATATATCTATCTCCTGGGCACATATTCCTGGGACATACAACTTCTCGGCACATATTCCTGCAACTTTAAGCTCTTCGGTGAATTCCTCTGTGGAAATTACTCAGGTAAAGAAGATTTTCAAATAATGTAGACCTCGAATGTTGTTAAATCACAATTAAATCAGATTTCATTCAATGTCCATGGATACAATCAGTTTGTAAACTAAATTCTAATTATGAACGTTTAATTAACATTTTTTTTTATATTTTAATATTAAATCATAAATATTTTATAGTAGAAACATGTTAATATACATCTTTATTATAATATCAACTATAATTTACGTATAATTATACAATTATTTGTATATAGCAAATCATTGGCGAAGCTACCATAAAGCTAGCATAAGCAAGGCATAGGGACCCAAGGAAAATAGGGGCCCTTTCCCCTCTTTGAAAAAAATAAAACTATTACATTGGAATTTTAATATTTGCATTATATAAATAAGAAAACGAAATTCCGGTTTCTTTTCTACTGTAGAAATCATTTTTAAGTTCCAAAAAGACCCCCCCCCCGACCCAGTACTTTCATACTGTACAGGCAGTAGCATTCAGTGGGGGGGGGGGGGGCAGAACAGGGCCCATCGTATTAACTTTGGAACATTACTGTCATTACATTGTCGGGCAAAACGTTGAGAGAATTAGCCTATAAATAAACTACATTCTTTTTAAAGAGCGCCAGACACTAGGGATACGGAGGGCTACTAAAATCGATTTCTAAATCGAATTAGGGGCGTCCTCAGCAGTAGTAACGATTGGGCGCCCCATGATACTCACTGGTCTTACCCTAACCCTAACCCTAACCTAACCCAGAGTCAAAGGATCCGTTTATTGCGCGCCCTGCAGTCAGGGGTACTACTTATTTAACGATCAAACAGAAAAAGCGACGGCTTTCGACGTAAGATTGACACCGACACACAAAAGGGAACACGGTAGACCTCTACGTTCGATGATTAAGCCAAACTAGGGGTTTGCACCGGGCTACCTACGGTAGTGTAACAAGTCAATCCCGCGACGTTTCTGACATCTAGGCGGTCGCCGAAGTTTTCAACCTCACTGTTACGGAGGAGGATTATCGTACACTTAATGCTTTCATACATCACCCCCAAGGGCGGCTGAGCGGTAGTGTGGACAAACCCGCGCCCCAGCAACAAAGAACCGAAAAAATAGCGGCGTTGTTTACATTTTGAATATCTCAGTTTTAAAAAACAAGGCCATGCGACTAAAAATACACGGTTGCTAACGCGTTGTTTTAACCCTTACATATTGTTTCGTTGCCATGGTTTGTGGGAGTTGATCGCAGCAACGCGGACAATTACGCTAGTTACGTATCTAAATTCTTTAACATTCCACGGTGATCGGGAAGGAGATTTTGATGTATATTATGGATTTATTTTTTCTCATTGTTTGATGTTATCATTATGATGATGTTAATATGTTATGAAACAAATTATTGATCTGCCTAAACCTACATAATAACGTAATATCACTACACAATCAGGACGAGTAAAATACAAAAATGTATAGAATATTTATATTATTTGACCCCACCCTCCACCCCCTCGTAGCAGTCGATTTCTTTGCTGCCCAAATTTAATTCCGTTGTAGCCTAAAGACTGACGAAGGGCCCACTGATAATTCTTGCATAGGGGCCCGAAAATCCTAGCTTCGCCACTGTAGAAAATGCTAATACATCTTATATTACAACAAAAAATAAAACATCTGTTATTGTAAAATGATTACGGTGCACTGCCAAAACGGCCTGTGACAACAACTTCCCGACTAAACGACCCCTACAAATTAGCCACTGAGAAAACGACCCAATCAAAAAGTGCCGTCAATAGGGCCCCTTATGATTTGGCTACAGGCAAAAGGCTCGCGAGAAATGGGCTGCCTACGTATCGTCCCGCTGCAAAAAGGCTCCCGATCAAATTACTCCCAATATATTAGTTCAAGACAAAAATAAAATCTTATGACTACTTTTGGTATAGAAGTAACCAATTCATTCCACCAAACAACCATACCAACCACACATACTATGGATGAATTAATGGATAAATGGATGTATGGATGTATGGATGAGGTGCATTGATGAGGATGTCCTACTGACTTATGTCCTATTGTATGCTACCGTTTTGTCCTGTTGACTTGTCCTATTGTAACGGACACCTATCTACCAGCCAGATAGATGGTGAACGCCCCCGGATTCTTTCTTGGGGTTATATGCAAATGACCTAAAGCTTAAATGAATGAAAACTAACTCAACAACTCACTAGGGCTCGATTTCGAGGTCTAGGGAAAACTAGTGAAACTATTGAAGTTAACAACTCATTCAATATGCATACAACCTTTAATAAGTGAACACAGTTGTGGCCGAACACAAGGTTAAACAAGATAAAATATTTAGTTTAGAAAATAACAAAACCCAACTTACAAAGCGTAAGAAAAAATACTATCACAGATTCTAACACTTTATAAAAATAGCCACAGGTCACATAACACTGCTATAGCATCAAGAATCACTTGGCCACAAGTAATATAATACTAGAATACTTAAACAACTTAAGAATGCATAGCACACTCAGGACTTAAGTTCTCTCACGTTCAAATGGTCAAAATGGACGGCCTGGTCATAATGGACTGCCTCGTGCCGCCTGTGGGCGATCTAGTTATAGACTTAGGCAACATGGGAGGTTACCCTCAACTCATGTGGCCATTGGTTGGGGTGGTCATCTGGTCTGAATCAATCAATCAGATCTTGATGGAAAATGTCTGAGTCTTAGACTCTCTTAGTAAGACAGCGGAAAAAACCCGGTTGTTGCACCATCGACCATATATGGTATTATAACAATGTCAAAATAAAACATTACTAGACCTAAGTAGGTCACATCCCCTCCCTTTTTGGAAGTGACAGATAGGTTCCACAAAAACATACATAAGGAACCAATCTGGCAATGAAATAAAAAAAATGTTCTACAAATGTAGCCAATCAAAATCTTAATACCAGATGAAAACATCCCTGGAAACAAAAGGGAAGTAACTCAAACTTTTACAATTTGTGAAAGGGGAGTAACCCTTTCAAAAAATAATATTACATCAAAATCCCTCAGAAAGGGGGTATTACAATATTTCCATGTGGATATTAAAAGTGGTAAACCCGACAGGGTAAAACTTATATTTCAATGACTAGCTACAATATCAACTGAGTCATATGAGACATATTATCATAGAAGATTACATATAATCAAAAACCACCTTTAATTAAGGTTCACCTGAAAATAAACAAAATTTGCAACAGGATTGAAATCTTAAAAAAAATTCAAAACTCATACCACCCACATTCATGCGAGTGTCACCTAAACAAAACACTTGTGTATGGTCCTAATGAACCACAAAACATGTCACATGATCAATGTGTAATAAGATTTTACATCCTTGACAAACAATCAGCCACAACATTATCAATACCCTTAATGTGGGAAATTTCCAGATTAAAATTTTGGAAATTTAAACACCATCTCAATATTCTGTGATTCTTTTGTCCTAACTTAGAGGTAAATTTTAGGGGATCATGGTCAGAAAACACTCTGACCGGATTGGTTGAAGAAGTGACATAGACTTCAAAATGTTGTAAGGACAAAACCAAAGCTAAAGCTTCTTTTTCAATAGTAGAGTAATTCTTTTGGTTCTCATTTAACTTCCTGGAAAAAAAGCAATTGGATGGTCAATCCCCATGTTGTCTTCTTGAAATAAGACTGAGCCAATGGCTAAGTTGCTAGCATCAATGGCAAGTTTAAAGGGCTTGCTGAAATCTGGTGCAGCCATAACAGGAGCATTAGATAAAAATGACTTAATGGTTAAAAAAGCTTTATGACATTTAGTTGACCATTCAAACTCAACACCCTTTTTCAATAATGCAGTAAGAGGTTCAGCAACAGCTGAAAAGTTTTGACAGAACCGCCTATAGTAACCAGCCATCCCAAGGAACTTTTTGATTTCTTTACAATTTTTGGGAGGAGGCAACTTTACAATAGCATCTACTTTAGCTTCAATGGGCCTAACTTGGTTCGTTCCCACTTGATAACCCAAATACGTAATTGAACCTTTACAGAAATCACTTTTATGCAGGTTTACAGTAAAATTAACTTCAGACAATTTTCTAAAAAGGTTAGTCAACTGAACAATATGTTCTTCAAAAGTATTAGAAAATACAACTATATCATCTATGTAGGCCTCACATTGGTCTATGTCAGCAATGACAGAGTTAATGACCCGCTGGAAAGTTTGACCAGCATTTCGCATACCAAAGGGCATACGTTTGTATCAATAAAAACCATTAGGGGTTACAAAAGCAGATATTTCTTTTGCACGGTCAGATAAGGGGATTTGCCAGTATCCTGATAGTAAATCAATTTTGAAAATTATCTTAGCTTGACCAACTTTATCAATAACGTCTTCTATTCGAGGTAATGGATAGGAATCAGCTTTGGTGAGCGCATTTACCTTCCTAAAGTCGGTCACAAACCTGAAAGATCCACCGTCTTTCGGGACTAAAAGACATGGGGAACTCCAGTTGCTGAAACTGGGCTCAATGATATCATTCCTAAGCATATAATCAATTTCATCTTTTATCAAAACAGCTTTTTCCGGGTTAACTCTATAGGGATGTTGTTTGATGGGTTTTGCATCACCTACGTCTACATCATGAGGTGGAACCTTCGCTTCTTTGGGGACATCCCCAAAAATAGAGGGAAATGTCTCAAATAACTGAGACAATCTATGGCTTTCCTCAGTGGACAAATGCATAAGGTGATCATTTAGATGATCTAAAAAGGAAGAATTTACCAATTTTGGGGGTTTCAATTTATCATGTATCACATCATCAGAAACATTTGAACATACAGGTAAAGTAATTTTAGCTGTGGAATAAAAATTGTTACAATTATCATAATACTTTTTCAGTGAGTTAACATGATACACTGTCTGTTTCTTTCTTCTGTCTGGCGTATTGACAACATAGTTCAAATCACTTAATTTTGAATGCACAGTAAAGGGTCCACAATATC